TAATCTTACGGAAAGTTTCAGATGCCAAATATAGTCAACACTACGTGGTTAGACATTCACTTCTTAGGTTATCTCTTGATTTTTCATGAGCTAGTTTAATGAAACAGATAAGAATGATGAAAACTAAATTTATTAATGTTGACATAACACAATTATATTATGTAATTTCAATGAATAATTGAAACAATGATATATGCATCTGTAAAATAAAATTATCACATAGAAATGTTTTGAGAAGTGCATGAATATCAGGCATTTTAGTTCATAATACTTCTTGATAAATTACAGGCTGATATGGTTACAAACTCTTGCCCTCCCCCAAACACTTCATAACAAACATTGAGAAAAATTATTTCAATGGAAATTCATGGTCTTAGCTTTCGCTAATTTTAGTTTGATCACCTATCACCAGCATCCCAAAACATTACCACAGCACTTCAAATACAGCCAAAACAGGTTTTAAAAATAATAAGCAACAGGGCCTCCCTCCCTGGTGGTTTCAAGGGGTTAAGCATCAGCACTATGAAGGTATCTGGAGCTACTGTAGCACGATCCCTGGCCAGGGAGCCACCCACAAGGCACAGCAGACCTTTTCTGTCTCGCCTGCTGCTCCCCTCAGCAGTGTATTTCGTCAGTCTGCCCGTTCTGTTCCCCACTCTGTCTCTGGTGAATCCTCTCACTCCCCACACCTTTGGTCTACACCCCAGCTCCTGTCTGTATAAATAAATAAATCTTAAAAAAAAAAAGAACAAATTAAAATCTGCAATGCTAGACACACATTTCCAAATAATTTCTCTCTGAAAAACAGATGCAAAGATGACTATAATCAGATGTGATCACAACGTACACAATAAAACAACACTAATCCAAAAGTAGAAGTGACTTCCATTAATTCTAGAGACCTGCTTTGTTTTTCATTCTCAGGTTTAGCATTATTTACAAATACCTGACAGAACAATGCCCATTATCACAACATTATCACTTCAATGTAACGCAGTCCTTAGATCCTAAAAATTTACCATCCACTTTTCCTATGCCAGACACTGGATTTCTATTGAAACAGAAATAATTACCCTGCTGTGACTTTTTTAGTTTACTGTCTGTCGTCCCTCAGAGACACACAAAACCAGACCATGAAGAGCTATACTAAGGGATTTGGATTTTATTCTTTGGCGAAAAGCCCTTTAAGAGTTCTAAGCAGCGAACCGACAAGATGACTTTATTAGAAGGCCACCTGGGAGAATGGTCATCATCTGGAGAATGGAGGGGACCCGGTGAGGAGATCAAGGAACTCAACCAAAAGATGGTTGGTTTAAGGACAGTGACTGCAGAAGAGGGACAGATTCAGTGTCAAGATTCTTGTCAAACAATCCTGACTTTGAACCCTTTTACCATTTATCTCCATGGACTAAAAGTTACTTAAACTCTTTGAGGCTCAGTTTCATTAGCAATGCTTGTAACATCCCAGCACATAGAAAACAGAAAAAATGATGATGATGCTACCTTGACAATGAAATTCATCTGAAAGAGATTTACATGGTCTGACTTCCTTTATCTTCGACACTAACCCTAACAGAAGTAATTTTTAAGAAGATTCAAGTGCAGTTATATACAGTACTGCATTAACTCCATGAAAAAACAACTGTTTTTCAGAGAACTTAAGGCAAAACAACTTCATAAATATACACTAAGCAAGGTGTTTTTCTCAAATTAATAAGTCTAGTTTGCACCTTCAATGTGTGTTTTCACATGCATTTTTTTTACTTCCTCTGTGTTTATAAGTAAAAAGAATATAAGCAAAATCTTGTAGTTCAATCCTGATAAAGACTGTGGTGTTACTACCAATTATTTTAATTTCTTCTGTCAAGTCTCATTTAAAACTTTATTACAGTGTAGCACCCCTCATTCTCACAGCACTGGGATGCCAGTAAACTGGGTGTTAAATGTTCTCTTTTATAAAATATGGATTATGGACACTCATCTATGGGTAGCTTCCCCTTACACTTAATATTCTTTCAACAAAGGATGAACCACCCTGAAAATCTATCATATTCAATTACTCAATATTACTAAGCAGGAGCTACCAGCAAGACAATGTTCAAGGCACAGTAGGAAGACAAAGGTTAGCCTAGCAGCATCCTTATCCCCAAGGAGTTTACAATCTAGTGACAAGACTAAGTATCCACACATGAAAAGAAAGGAGTGATGCAGAGAGAAGTACAAATATTAAAAATAAAGATATCACTTTCAGTAGGGTGGTGAGAAAATGGAATTTGAATTGGACCCTTGGGTTAACAAAATGTTGAGAGAATTTGCTGAGAAGAAAGCAAGCACAAGAAACCAGAGAACAGCATGAATTTAGTTGTAAGTACTTTATTTAAAAAGCTTTTTAGTATGGAAAATGTAAACAGGTAAAAGTGTACAGAATAAAATAATGCACCTTTATGTACTCATCAATGAGCTTCAGTAACTACCAACTCATGGCCTATCTCGTTTTATAATATACATGTCTTATATGAAAACCCTAAAAGAACCTATTTTCATGTTTTACATTCTTTACTGACTCCATCCTCAGACAAATCTGTAACGTCACAGTACTAGCCACAAGGTTGACTTTTCCTAAAGGCCAGAGACAAATAAAATGCAAGTCTATTAAAAAAAAAACCAACCAACTCCAAGTGAACAGTGACAAAGATATTGCAAAATGATAGATAATCCCAAAACCAGTTTGCATATACTTAAGGAATACCTTTTCCATGTTTATATTTCAATGAGAATGAACAAAAAAATGGGAGATTTCATGCCAAATAAAAATATCACAAGCATCTAACACAAATCACTTGGTCTCCTGAGCCAGCATCATCCTCTACAAAACAGGGAAGATCATCTAGCTAAAGGATGTGTGAGAATTAAATGAGTGTAAATTAAATGCCACACATACAAGTTCCTTGTGTTAATACTCAGTTGACCCATGAAGGACTGACTAGAAGGTTGCCTGGCTTCCCAATCCTTTCCCTTCATACACCACCCTCTCTTAAGATGACGTGAGAACTTTTCATTTCAAAACATGCTAAAAGCAAGGAGCTAAGCATTCTAATTCCAAGTTTCTTTGCCATTAAAACAAATAAAGGGAGCTGAGATAGAAGGAAGTACTTTAGTAGGATAAATCTTGTAGACTAACTTCACAAAATAGTGTCCTCTGAATTAATAGAGCGAACAACACATAGAGGTAGTGTATGACCAAACCTACTAATACTCTCATTTTCCCCATTTCTGTGTTTATTCTTTCTACATTAGCACAGTAACAACAGCAGGGCAGCCATCAGCACCTCAGGTGAGCTAAAGTGTAAGCTCAAGATGAGTTAGTTTCCACAAAGCATGACAGAAGCACCTTCACCTCCAGTTCCCACTCTGCCGTAAGAAAACACTCCGTATCACTTGCTGCTGAGAGGCAGTCCACTGCTCCTCTATCAAATCAAACACCTTTTAAAAATACACACGCTGTCACAACTGTTCACCAAGACTTTAACTCTGCCTGTAGTGTCTTCCCTTCACTCTGTTATCTTCTTTTAGAGATTGTATATGTCGAATACATCACTGAATTTTCCATTTGAATTGTCTTCTTCAATTACTAATCCTCTTTCCATATGTGCTGACACACTGGGTTCAACTCTCACACTCTACCGTTTGCCAGATGCCTTGGCGAGTTCTTCATTTACTCCTTTCAGTCTATAGAAATGGTAATTCCCCTATTTTGGAGGTAAGGAAAGAGGTACAGAGAACTTACTATCTTGTCCAGCTACGAAGCACACTAGGGGTGAACGGGCCGTCCAGACCAAGTCTGCCAATTCCAAACGCCATGTGCTTTCCACTCTAGCGCACTCTATTCTATGAAGGGAAAGCCTACAGTTTTGTTCCAAACCACATTTCCTTCCAAGAGTAAACCATCTCCCAACAAGCTCTCTAGATTGCAGCCAGATTTTCCAACCCCCCCTCCCCGACAATCTTCCTGTGCTTGCTTCCACGACCTCCAACCATTAATTCCTACCCACCATCCAATTTCCACTCTTCACGGATGGGATCATCATTCCTTCAAGCTCTCCTGCAAATATTTCACCTCCGCGTGCCAACCCCTGACACGCCTTTCTCAGGACAGGCAGGTTCTCTCACGCCATAAACTACACAGTAGGCTTCTCATTCCTTAACAAGCCGCTTAATAACTTTAAAAGTCCCATAAAAATGGGCATAACCTCCTTGCAGATCTTGCATCTCCATCCTTGACACCGGGCCACTCCAAATTCGGCGGAACCAAGTACCAACCCTGAGAGAGCGTCAGCCCATGCCCACTGTCCCCGACGACCTCCTTTGCAGAATCTGGTTACCCAGAGAGGCTCCCCTCCCACCCTCCTCACGAGGGGCTTCCCTCCCGTTCCGGAGACGCTGGCCCGCGGTGCTTTCCTCCCTCACACCTGGGCCTCTCCCCCGCCGGGTCCCAGCCCACCCCAGCCGCCCCCGCTGAGGCGGCTTCTCCCCGTTCTCAACTTCCAAGTCGGGCCTGTCATCACCTGTTCCCCACGGCGCTCCCCGCAGCCCAGAGCCCACCTTTGCCCGCGGCCGCCCCTCCACCCTGCCCACCCGCCCGCCCGGGAGCCGCCCCCTCAAGTCAATTCCAGGGTGCGGGCAGGATTCGGCTTCCCCCGCCGTGGGCCTCCCACCCCCGGGGTCCAAGGGCCCTTCTCCATCCCCTGCTCCGCCCCCGGCCGGATGACACCGGCCCGGCCTCCCCCGCCCTCTCCCTGCTCGGACGCCGGGTCCCCGCCGCCTCCCCGGAGCGGCAGCCGCCCCCTCTGGTGGGGGAGCGGGGGGCGTGCACCCCCAACCCGCGGCCCCACGACGCGCACCTGTTCCTCCTCCTCGCACCCCCCACCCCGGCCCCGGCCCCGGCCCGCCGGCCGCGCCCGCGCCCCGGCTCCCACCCCGGCGCCCGCGCCCGCACTCACCACGAGTAGGTCTGCTCCGCCATGGCGCTCACTCGGGCTCGCCGCGGGCTCGGCCAGGCCCGGCGGCGGCGGCGGCGCGGAGCTCGGCCGGGAGCGGAAGGCGCGGCCGGGGCCCGGCGCTCGCTCGTCAGGGTGCGCGGCGGGCCGGCGTCCGGGAGGCGGCAGGCGGGGGAGGCCGCGCGCCGGGCGGCCCCGCTCCCTGGGCCCCGGGCGGGGCGGGCTCCGCGCTCGGCCTGCCTCACCGGCGGCGGCCGCGGCGGCTCCGCTGCGGCTCTAAACCCAACATGGCGGCGGCGGCGGCTGGAGAACAAGGGAGCCCCGGGGCGGGCGAACGGCGAGCGGGCCCCGCGCTCACTGCGCGCCGGGCCGCGGGAGCGCCGCGCTCGGGCGGCGGCGGCGGCGGCCGGGGGACATGGCCGGCGGGCGGAGGCAGCGGCGGCGGGGCTGAGGGGGGCGCCAGGCGCTGAGGCGAGGCCGCTCGGCTCACACCCGCCGAGGGGAGGCGAGGGGGGCGGGGCGAGTCCGGGCCCCTCGGTCACGTGCCCAAAACACGCTCACGTGACGCGCGCCCCGCCCCTCGCGCCGGGCACATGCGCGGAGACGGCGGTTCGCGGTGCGAGGCGCCCGCGGCGCGCGGGGCTCGGGGCGGTGGGGCTGCTTCCGCCGCCGGGGCCGCCCCTCCCCTCGCGGAGCCGCGCCTCGGCCCCGGCCCCGGCCCCTCCGAGGAGCTGCGGCGGCCAATCGGCGGCCCCGCGGCGCGTCCGCGCGCTGCCGCTCAGCTGTCAGCTGTCAGTCAACAGTCTGCGGGCCGAGGGTCCCCAGCTGTCAGTCATCTGTCGGCCCGCGGGCAGAGCGCTGCTGCAGCGCTTTGTGGTTTGGTCCTTGTCCGCCCGTCCGTCCGTCCATCCATCCATCCATCCATCCATTCATTCATTCATTCATTCAGCAAATAATCCGAGCAGCCAATCTTTATGGCGCCCAGGCTCCGTGCCACGTCCTCGGGGTGCCAAGGGGAATACCCCATCCTTTGCTTCATTTAATCAATCCATCAACAGATATTTATTGGGTGCTGATTCTGAATCAACTCATTTCTGGGTCTCTGACCTCCTTCGTGAGGAAGAGACATCGCCCATGCTGTAAGTGAAGATAATTCCAGATGCTAAGTATGAGGATGTTAACAGAGGTTACTAGTACAGAGTGGGCGGGGGGGCATCTAAAGGGGGTGGTGACATTTGAACTTACACCTCAAGGGTGAGAGGAGCTGAGCAAAAAGGCCTCACCGGAGCAGTCGACGTGGTAGAGCTAGATGGGAGACCAATGGTGAGTCTAGGGCTTAGGGAGAGCAAGGAGAGAGAGAGAAACTGAGCCCTGGGCACTGGGGGATGATTCTCTAGGAGTGACTCAAGCGGTCTGGAAAAGAAAAGGCATCCTGGGTATTCTAGGAAGAGAGAATGGCATGAGGCAGGCCTGAAGATGTGACAGTTTGGGGTGACATGATTTGTGCCGGGGGATGTTTCAAAAAGAAACTGAAAAGCTGCATAGTTTGAAGGGTCTAGCCAAGCCTCCTTGCCAGTTTTTATGTTCATGAATGAAAATGGTCAGTGCAGCTACAGGTTTTAGAAGTCTGCCTGGGCAACAGTCATACTAACCCTCCTGGACCCCCAGTCTCCACAGGGAGCAGAGCACACACGCCTGAAACCAGCACACTCAAGCTGCTCTGTGGTTTGCCCAACTGCAGGCCAGGATTTAGCTCTGCTCCAGTTTCCCAGGACCTGCCCAGGCTTATGGGGAATACCACGCCCTGAATCTATCTCCAAATGGATCAGTTGGCCACTGCCCATACACCTGCCACTTGCCTGTTCCCCAAGGGGAACCCTTTAATGAGAAAGCCAAGTACATTTTTTCCTTCAGAAGCAAGCTCTCCTTCCTCCTTCCCCTGCTGCAGGTGCCAGAACTAGTCAGGTTCAACGTGTTTCCTTGAGGCTCCACCAGAGAGCCCTGGGAAGGGGCCAGTTGAAAAGACTGAGCTCTTGGAGCAGATGTGAAGCAGGGCCCCAAGAAAATCATTGGGGATCCTTCCTCTGATTATTCACAGCAGAAGAGTCCAGCTTGCAAATATCTTCCCACCTATGAGCTGCACTGAATGTGGGGATATCATGGGGCTGCGAGAAATCAAAGAGACTAAATTCTTCACATTTGCGTAATTATTACAGCTTTGTCAGCTGCTTTTACAGGGCACCGGTTGTACCCTTGAACGTGACACACAGTTGTTCTGAGTCTCAGAGGGGCACCAGTGAAACTGCAGGCCCTTTGGGAAAGACCAGAAGCCATTGGCACAAGTGGCTTTGGGAGGTGCAGAAGCGCCTTCTCTGGAGAGCTAAGAACAAACAGACCAGACATGTCGCTAATGAAACAAAAGTGACACATTGAGCCCCTGGGCAGTTTACTTGAGCTTTCGTTCCCAATGAGTCATGGAAGACAAAGCCACATGAAAAGTTGGCATTGAGAGGCTGGAACAGGAGGAGGAAAGAAAAGCAAGGTCTTCTCACAAGCAAAGGGGCCATTCTTTGCACTGAGAAAAATTTGGTGAAAGAAAGCATGGAGAAATCTGGTGACGGTATGGGTTTAGAAATAAGAAAAAAGGTTTTCTTCAGTCTACACCAGAGGGCTTCAAAGTGCCTCTGGGGGAAACATGTGAATGCAGAAGAAGCCAGTAGCATTTAGTAGGGATGGAAGTGTTCCAGCCACAGAACCCTGTATTCCAAGAAGATGGAGTATAAGCTTAGAGACTTGACTGGTGGCTTGAGCATCTTAGGCTAAGGTTGCCCAGATGTAGAAGGCACCACCAGGTCCTAGTCAGGGTCTCTGTACACTTGAAATCCCAAGAAGGCCAAGCCTGAAATTAATCTGAGCCTGTGGGTTGGCTGGAGGCTGCCCAGCCTGCGGCACTCGGGTGTGACTTCCAGCCCCTCTGCCAGCAGCACTCAGCTCCAAACTGGAGCAGCCCCAGGTGTATCTATGGCACCTGTGGACCTCAGCTGGGGAGTCAGGTGTGTTTGGCAGTAGATGCAAGCATTGACTCCCCACAGGAGAGGTGCCTGGTTCCTCCCGCCCCGCTCCCTGTGCAGGTGAGAGGGCCACAGCTTGTGCAATGATTATTGAGAGAGTCCATGGAAGTTCCTCTAATTATCACCAAGGTAATTATAGGATCACTCCTTCCACCTCGTGTGTTCAAAAGAGACTTAGTGAGTCTCTCCAGGTCGCGTCATCTGCCTGAGGCACAGACTCTGGGGAGCAGGCATTGCCAGGCCTGGCTGGGCTGCGTAGGCACATCTGAGAGGGTCAGCCGTTCAGGCCTGCCCCTCCAGCCCATTTCTCACCTCTTCCATCCACCCCCAATAGTCACACGCACACAGGCAGCCACATTCCACAATTAAGTACTTGCCACTTCCCAATGAGCTATGTTTATTTTTGCTTCCAGATATCTGGTCAAGCCCAGGAGGCTTTCTCATTGCCTCTTAACTGCTACTGATAATTTTGAAGCTTGGCGTCTATGTCACCTCCTCTAGAAAGCCTCACCTGACCAAACCTAGGCTGGGTTAGTGACTCCTTCTCTGTACTCACAGCCCCTGAAGGTACCAGGTCATAAGGCTTAACACAACGAGCTCTCTCTGGCTGTTTACCTGTCATTCTCTCCCTCTGGATTGGGGATGTCTTGTGGGAAGAGACTCTGGATTCTTGCCACTTGTACCTGCAACACCCAGTGAAAAACTTAGCTCAGACGAGATGCTCAAAGATTATGGGATGAACACTTGAGTGTGCAAGAGGGGAGCCAGCCTTCAGAATGATTGGTTTTGCCTGATAGTCCCATGATTCTCTCCATGATCTGGTATTCGGTTGGCATCCTGTCCCCTACATGATCCTCTCTTAGCAAAGAAGAGGATCTTTAAGGGCAGAGAAATCTGTTAAGACACATTATAGGGAGACAGAATTTCGGAAGTATTAGGTAGGCACCAGGTACTTACATTCTGTGATTGTGGGGTTTTTTAAAAGATACTTTTCTAGAGCAGTATTAAGTTTACAGAAAAAATTGATGGAAAGTGCAGAGATTTCCTACATATGCCCTCTCCGCCAACACAATTTCCCTTATTACTTGTGTCTGCTGTTAGTAGGGTACATTTGCTACCATTGAGGAGCCAATAGAGGTGACTAAAGTCCGTAATTTACAGTGTTTTGCTGTGTGTGTTATACGCTCTGTGGGGTGTGATAATTGCATAATGACATGTACCTGCGATTACAGTGTCATGATGGTTTCACTGCCCTAAAATTCCCCTGTGCTCCACCTATTCATTCTCCTTTCCTCCCATCCCCTGGTAATCACCAAATTTGTTACTGTCTCCATAGTTTTACCTTTTCCAGAATGTCATATAATTACTAAAGTACATACAGTAACTACTGTAGGTGTTGGGGTCCATGTAGGTGTTGGAACCATACAATCTATAGTTTTTTCAGATTCACTTTTTTCCACTTAGTAATATGTTTCTAAGGTTACTGCATATCTTTTTGTGGTTTGAGAGCTCATTTCTTTTTATCACTAAATAAAGACCCATTGTATGAATGTTCCAGAGTCTGTTTATCCATTCACCTATTGCAGGGCGTCTCAGATGCTCCCAGGTTTGGGCAAGGTTTACAGAAAAATTGATGGACAAGTACAGAGATTTCCCATATATACCCTCTCCTCCAACACTATTTAGTAGTTATAAACAATGAGATGCAAATTTTCTTGTGGACATAAGTTTTCAACTCATTTAGGTATACTATGGACTTTTTAGAGGGTGTTGTTTCATTTCCAAGTATTTTGGGCTTTCCCAGATGTTTTATTGCTCTGATTTCTAATTTAATTCTGTTGTGGTTGAAAATATACTCCTGAAGATGTCAGTCTTCTGAAATTTGTTAAAATTTGTTTATGATCCAGCATATGCCTTATTCTGGTGAATATTCCATGTGCACTTGAAAATAAATTGCATTCTATTATTTGGGGATGTGGTGGTCTATAAATGTC